GGGCGGGAGGGGGTCTGAGGTTCTCTGAGGCCCCGCCTTTGCTGGAACTGTGACTCTCCCTTTGTGCCCTGGGTACTCACTCGCTGGCCCGGGCCCTCCCCAAGGTTCACCCTGCAGTGGACTCTTGCTGTCCCCCGGCCAGGCAGGCCCTACTGCCCGCTGCTGTGGATGCAGCCAGGCTGTCCACACAGCGGGACCTCGGAGGGCCCCCAACTCGACACACAGGCCTGCGGTGACCTCCACACCCTGACGAGGGCCAGCCCTTCTGGGACTGAAGTCTCAGCCCTTGGCGGGGGGCAGGGGGCAGGTACCCCAGGACAGACCAGGCGCATGGGGTGGCAGGGAGTCTGTGGCAGGAGGCTGCAGCTTCTCCATGGCGGGGCACAGCCCCACAGTCCTCTAGGCTCCCTTGTTCCCCGATCGCCGTTTTTTGGGGTGCCACGAGTGAGGCAGCGTTCCTTATCGTGTGTGGTGTCATAGATGGGGCGTCTAGCCCAGGATGTGTGTCTGCTCCGACAGGGAGTGGTGCCAGCCTCAGGGCTTCCTGTCCAGAAATGCCTTTTTTCCCAAACTCTCCCCTCCAGGGAGAGGGGGTGCGGGCCACGGGCCCGCACTGATGTCTTGTCCAGGGGAGGCCAGCGCAGATGAAGCCTGGGGCCATGCGGCACGAGATGCCGCTGATTTGCGTGTGAGCATGTAGGACGAAGAACTTAGACCGTCAGGCACCTCGAGTGTGAAGACGCCGCCGTCAGGGTGTCCTGGCGGATTAGCACAAGCAGAGTCTAGGACCCCCACTCGTGTGGTCCCTGTTGACTCTCATGGCTGCTGTCTGCCGACCCGGGGACCCCTGCCTGGTGCTTCCTGCCCTCCAGGCTGGGGACAGGCGGGTGGATGGGTGTGGCCAACAGGCAGGAAAGTCTCCTGCTGACCCCTGGGCCACCCCACCCCACCGTCCATTCTGTGTTCTTCCTAACCGAGTTCACAGCCGGAGGCCTTGCCCTGAGCCCCCGAGGCACCTGGGCCGTGCTTACGCCATCCACCAGCAGCCTGGCCATGCTCGAGGCCATCTGAGCCCAGGCTGGGACAGTGGGCAGAGGGCAGAGAAGGCCGCATAGCCTTCTCTATGCGGTGTGTCTGCGGCCACGCCTCTGCACCGCAGCTCAGCACCCAGGGCCCGCGTGCCGCGCCCCCTCCGCACCTCAGCTCAGGGCCCGCGTGCCGCGCCCCCTCCGCCCCAGGCTCCCGCCTTCTCTTGTGTTGCTGAGACTGGCTGCAGGTGCTCTGCGTGTCCCTGCTTTGCGGGCCTTGGGTCCTTTCAGTAGAAGCCATGAGGCTCCGTCGGGCCTGTGGCTTATGATCGGTGGCCAGTAGTGGCCAGTAGGGAGGAGGTGGCGGGGCTGCCCCACTCCCCCGGCAGGGTCGAGGACAGTGACGGGTCCTTCGGCCTCCCTTGGACCTGGCGCTTGTCCCGCAGCAGCAGGAAGCAGGGCACCCCCCTCCGTGCTCCTGCCGCCTGGCCCTTGGCCGTGCCTCGGCCCGGGAGGCTGCGGGCCAGCGGGGCCCTGTCCGTGGTGCCCCCGCGGTGCCTGGCCCTGGTGGGCGCCTTGTGAGAGAGGCGGGGACCCTGTCGCATTTGCTGGCAGTCATTGCCCCTTCTCTGAACGGCTCACGACGTTCCGTCTGTCAGCTTGGGTGTGACGATGGCGGGTGCAGGCCAGGGGCTGTCTGCTGTGTTCCCCAAGTGGTCGCGGACGGGGGCGGTGGGGCACACAGGGGCCGGACCCGGACACACAGCAGACAGCCGCATGGGGCTCAGACTCCACCCCCAACCCCGTGAGCCCTGTGCCACTTCCTGGCTGTCACAGTGGGGGGCGCCGAGTGGGCAGGGGGGCACCTGCAGGCGGGGGGGCGGGCGGCCTGTGCCCCCCGCTGTTCTGCACGGCAGGGGCGGGGCGCGGCGGCTCCG